AAGGGCCTGCCCCGAGAGGTGCTAAGGGCAACAAGACTTAGGTCTGCTTAGCAACTCCAAGGATTGGGCCTAACAATCCTGTGGCTTTTTCGGTACTTCATAATTTGTTCAATTCACTGTTCCTCTATATCTCGTCACCCGCCAACCAAAACTAAAGCCACCTCTAGAACGCTATTTGAATACTGGGTAATAGTGCTTAAGAGTCATTCCCATCTGACAGATGTTCAGTGGCCTATGTGAAATGAACTGGTGGGCCCAGTCCAGTTCTGAGTGGGCATATTTATATCACAAAAATCACCATTACCATTACAACTGTCAGAAACTAGTAGTCTCAGATGAGAAGTCAGGAATTAAAGACTGACCTGGTCTCACTTCCCAATAAGTGGTCTCTTCAGAATAGGCTTGAGGCACATGGATAGGTGGAAAGGGCAAGCTGACCACTCTGCAGCTGTTCTGTGTTAGAGGCCATTCCTTTCCAAGGCTGTTAGTCTGGCAACCTGAATGAGTACTGTATTAATGATAAAAAAAAAAGAAAAGAAAAGAATGAAAGAAGGAATAGCCGTCTAATCAAAATACAGAATATTCAAATTTCAAAGTGGTATTTCAACCTCACTGGAGCAAATGCTGATACTTTGTACATTTAAAGTACACAGTGTAAAAATAAAACTGAATAGGTGTGTAGCATAGTACTTACTGGTAGTGCACAGAAAATTTTAGCCCTAAAAATAATAACTACTCCTCTGGCAAAGTCTTCAGTAACAACAGAAACTGCAACAAACATGAGCCTGCTCTCCTGGCAAAGATAGTAAAGATACTGGGAAATAGAACACTCTGTTGCAATCCAAAAATTGTAATTTTGTAACCATTCTTGGATTAAATTTCTGAGAAGGACCACACAAGATTAGAGTATTTAGATTGCAGTAAGACTAGTTGACATGTGCTCCATTTCCCATTCCCTTTGCAATCTTTGTTATAATAGTAGACTCATGTTGTGCCAGTTAGGATTAATATGGTAACATGAAAGGGCTAGGTTTGTATCATTTTCCACGCACATTGCATTCGCTGATGGGGGAATGGGTTCATATTGTATTCAAGCAACTTCTTGTCTAGAATGGACCTAATTAAACGCATACAAATACTTCAGAATGTAGGTAGATGTGTCAGCTGCACCATGGCTTCAAATATTATTGGATCTCAACATTCAGAAGTACCTAAGACTTCCTGCTAGGTTGTGAAATAAAGTATCCCATTTAGCTTACTCTCCAGGATCTCAGCATGTTCCTTACACTTAGTCTGTTTCACTCTCCCCTGAGAACGTGTTATATGTTCTTTCCATTCAAACTTCTGTCTAAACTGCTCACATTGTCATTGATGTATTTTACCTTATGAAGTCTCACTAGACTTTTAATGTAGAGCAGTGTGCAGATACATTTTCTCCTCACTGTATCTTCTGACTTTGAATTCTCCACATTATTAAACTTGTTGTAAAGTTTCATCTCAGAGCCACAATTTCCCATTTTTTTGCCATCTTTTCAGTGGGATGACATTATCTGCAAAATCAGCGAGTACCATATTTCACTCTCTTTTTACATTTCACTTTCCCAACTAACCATTTACAGGGTTTAATATTGTGCAGATTATTCACCAGATGTTGAGGCAATTGCTTCATACATTTCAGGTGCAGGCTGAACTCAGCAACATACCTTGTGATCTAAGGTACATCAGCACTTGGCAAACCGTTCCAAAATATGTATTAGAAAAATAGTTGAAACAGTGGTGCGATAACATCAAAGAGTGGGCTGGGAACACAAACAGTAATTGCTGTGAAATTTGATTCCTGAGGAACTGCTCTAGGGAGCTCCAAGTTTATTTCTCCCTGTTGTATACTGAAATATAATGTTTGTTTTAATTCTTAGAATAGAACTCAGTGAGTCACTATTTGCATTTGTTGATCTTTCCCAACATAAATCTCTCCATTATAGTCATATCAACAATGCGCCTCCTTTACTTTAGTATTAAAATTTCATTCAGCCTTTTCAAACAGTATTTACTGAGTTGTTCAATCTGTAGTTACAGAACTCCTTCAGTATCAAAATCTGAGTGCTATCACTGGGACATAAAGCATAGCACAGGTGTCAGATCTCTGTGATCTTCTTTGGCATTGGTTAAAAATAAACCTGAATTTTATTGGAATATGCCCTACTAGGGATGAAGATACATCCTTAATCATAAAACATGCACTATCCTTCTTAACCCTTTCATGTATTACACCAATGGTCTTGTCCTATCATGCTACTGGGAATTTTGTTCGTCTGTGGAATCAGACTCTGTATCTCCCTTTGAGGCTCCTACGGTGACTACTGTAATTTCTTTGAAACTCAGCAAGGCCTGGGTTGCCAGTCTTTGGCACATGTCAATGTAAAAAACTTCTGTCTAAACTGCTCACTCAATCATTGATATACTATTTAGTTGGAGTCCTGCATATGATGAAATATACTTATAGTCTCAGATTTCCATTTTCAGCAGACAGATTTTCTGAAGCGCTTGGTATGATTTTATATGTTCTGCCATACTTCAGACTCTCATCCAATGCTTTTTCAGTAGCATGATAACTGTGTTGGAAATGCAGGGAATTCTCTCTTGTTTGGGTCCTTTCAAGCCTACACTGTATGTCTTTCATGGATATTTTGTTTGGTGATGGTGAAAGCCTCGTGATGTCTCATTTCCTTTCACATACGTTTTCTTACTCAACGCCATTGTGCATGTACACAAGTGCAGATGTTATCTTCTGATATAATGAATGGGAATCCACCTGGCTTTTTTACACTATGTGAAATATGCACAGAAGTAAGCTGACCAAGAGCTGCCTAAGTGCTCCATATTGACATCTTATAAGCCAAGACTATAGCTATGCCCCATAACCCCAGGTAAAACTAAAATCCTTATGCCACTCATCACCATTACAGAAGAGATAAACTGGTATGCAGTTGAACACGTGGTAAAGCCTACTAACTATCTCAAGGATAGAGCCATGCCACATACCAAATCAAATGCTTCTCAGGGGCTGTCTCCCAATCAAATGGGGTCGGGGGTTATAAGGACTGGTAAGTCCCAGTTAGACATAGGAAACGAGGAACCCAGATCTAACTCCCAGGATAAACAGGAAGAAGTGCTCACTTCCTCTTGCCTACAACAGAGTTTTTGGATTGGTTGCACGGTGCCTGGAAATTCATCAGATTGAATAACTAGAAGAATGAAAAATTCGTTCCCAAACGAAAACAGAGCTGGAAAATATAACAGCAATAATAACTGTTATTTATATTCTGGTAGTGGCCACAATAGGTTAGGTAACATCCACACAAAAAAGACAGTACAATTTGCGCCCGAAGACCACATAGTCTGTGAAGACAAGCAACATACAAAGGGTCAGGGAAACAGATGCAATCAAAATATGCACAACTTCTGCATACAGTTTAAAATTAAATAAATAACCATCCCAATACCTACATGGTCAACATAATAATGTAGTGAAAAGTATTGATCACAATTAGTCCATTTATTTGATTTATATTTAAAGCTCCCATCCACTCACAGAAAATGCATTCCTATACATATTTCACTACAGACACGTTTTAAAAAAAATAATCATTCACTGTTGGTTTTGAAAAATTAACGCTGAAACTTTGAACGTGACACAAACAAACAAGACATAATTTTGAAAAGATTAAAAGCAATTGTTCTGTTACCCCGGCAACACAAACTAGGCGCAGCCAATCAGCAAAGCTGATATATTGTTTTGACATACGTGAACATATTTCTAACATAAATAGCAACAGAGACCTAATAACAATGGGTTTTAAAGCTAGAAACTGATGTCATTTCAAATGTGTCAATCAAAGACAACCTATGAAAGTGTTTCTTCCATCAAGCTGACATTAAGTATATGCTGTAATGGCTTCATAAGTGACAGTAGACTTCTGACAGGCCATACAGGAGATGCAAAATCTATAATTACATTCTAGCTTCTTGAATTGCGTCCTTTAGTATATCTAAAAAACTTTGAGGAGAAAATAAAACTTGAGGGCTATGATATCTCATTAATTTATCAAAACAGCCCCCCCCCAAAAGTATGCAGCATATCTGAGAAAGGAGAAATATTCGACTGGAGTTAACCTGGTTAGCCCTTAAAATAGATGCACTTACATTTCTTATATCTCATTTTTATGGACAACTAATGCTAGTGAAGTTCTGCAATGTGAGTTTTCAGGGATCCTAAATGTTAACAATAGATGGAACCTACAAAGGAAGATTGTTAATGGGTTACAGAGCCTTTCCCCTCTTGATCATTGGTTTGAATCTGGCCTATGTCAGCGATAACTGAAAGCCATTACTTTCTGACAGGTGTTCAGAAGTCTGTACAAAAGGAGTTAGTTCATGACTGTAGTCCAGTACCTAGCAGACAGGTGCCCATATCCCCCAAAACCACCATCAAAATTGGAACCCTTGCTGGACTTCTCAGAAGATAGGGAGAGATATGAGCAGGCCATGGAGAATGAACTATCTTCTCAATCCTAGCAGTGGTTGTCCCAGGTCACTGCCAAGGAAAGTTAACCAAGTAGTTTTGAAAGAGGTCACACTGTCATTGCCTTTCATGTGAACCTGTCCTGTGGGCAAAGTGAGGTCTTTGGTTTCTAATGCTAATTGTGTAGCACTTTAAATGAAGACAGACTACTTAATTTTAAAAACTGAACAGATCTATACATTTCTTCATGTCAGCAACACATGTTCAGAAGAAACAAAGGCTGTATCATCAGCCTTAGACTTGTGTGTGTATATGTGTGTGAGTAATAATAAAAAAAAGTCTGTATATGTCAGGACTGTGAAATGAAATACAGATTCATAAAACTCCCAGATACACAGAGACAAGCACCTTATTTTGCTGCTGGATGGGATTATGAGACTATTCTAGCACATCATCTATTTTCTCTTTCTTTCTGCAGGTTTATGAGACTCTCATCATAGCAAATGCTAATCCTGAGGAATTTCCAACTGGAACACATTGAAAATAAAAAGGAAACAAGACAGCCAACAGCACTGAGGAAGCAATACAAATGACACATAGGGTATAGTACTCTCCTTTGCCATAATGTGAAAGATGATGTATTTTCTCTGAAAATTTATAATCTTTCTTTAAGGAAAGGTGGTTTTTACTTAGAATCTTAATCTACATTGTTATTGATTTGGTTTTGGAGTGGGGAGAGGAGGTGGAATAGGAAGAATAAAACAATGTAAAATGTATCATATTTAACCATTTCATTGCTGCTGAATTGCTAGGTGTAGGGGACAAAACACCTTTCTAGAGCTGCCTCACGCGTCATGAACCCCACCGTTGAGCTGGCAACGGTCCATTGGAATGTTTCCACTTAGCTGGGACACTGAGGAGGGTTCGATAGTGTCACAGAGTAATGGCAGAAGGTCACACTAAGGTATGCTCTTTAAAATTTTGCCCTGTAGGTTATTAAATCATGATGCTGTGACTTGAATCAGTGCCACACCCTTATACTGGGATGGGACTGGAAGATGCCAGTTCTGATACAAAGCAGATGCCCTGCATTGGAGGGTCTATTCCAGTGTTTCTTAAACTCTCTGTGCTGGCAACCCCATTAGGACTTAAAAAAAATTGTGACCCCCCCCCCACCTTCAGCCCTGCGGGGCTTGGCACTTCAGCCATGCTCAGGGCGGGGGCTTCATCTGAAGCAGAGATTTGCACTTGCCTCTCCCAAGAGCGAGTGCCCTAACCACTGGGCTATGGATACCTTTATCAGCCACTGCCCAATGAAGTGTGTTTTTTTTCTGTCTTTTGCAAGCTAGAACAGTGAGGGAAAATATTCCATAGTTTTAACCTCCAGACCTTTTACTAATACATATTCCAAAAAGTACAAAGAAAACATGATCCTTACATTTTTTGTAAGTAATAATGTTACTTTGCTTCTATAGACAATATTTCCTCTTACTGAGACATTCAGAGTCCTTTACACACATTAACTAAGCCTCATAACCCATTGTGGAGTAGGTATACATAATTATACCCATTATATAGATCAGAAAATTGAGATGAAGAAAAGTTAAGTGACTTAAGGACCTAAAAAGGAAGCTCTCATCGTTAAATCATTGGGCTGAGACTCAGTAGATCTGAGTTAAATTCCCAGTCCTGCCACAGACTTCCAGTGTCACCTTGAGCATGTCACTTAATCTCTGTGCCTCAGTTCCTACCTGAAAAATGGGGATAGTAATAGGGTGTGATGAGGATAAGAAATACCCAGATTAATAAGCAGTATGTCAGAATCTAAGCCAAGACTCCTGGTTCCCAGTCTGATGCTCTGGCACTCTTAATCTTTAGATGTTATCATAAAATATTTGGCTAATGAATTCCTAAATGGGAAACACATCTTAATATTATGAACATAGGTCTCTTACTGATGTCATTTATTTTTCTTATATATGAATCGAAGTGTAGCAGTGTGTAAAAGTTGTAATTATCTTGTAAAAAGAAAAAAAAAGAAAAGAATAACAGATCTCTTAAAGTGTTATCTACTCCTAATTGTAATCTCACCTCATCTAATAGAATGAGATATTTTAAATTTGGTGGTGTGCAAGTAGAAGTTATTTCTGAGACTGCAGATTTTTCATACCTTTTCCTTCTCAAACTAATTTGTTACATCCTGTGCAGCTCTATCTTTCCATAAGATTGAACCATATGTAATATAAGATATTAGCCCAAAAGAAATGTAGGTCAATTTTTAACTGAGTTTCCTCATAATGGAATGGAATGGAGTTGTATTTTATATGCAAAAGGCCACACAAAGAGATAATTTGTCTCTGATAGTCTTTGAAAGTCAACCGGGCCTGTTAGCTTTAAAAGATTCAAATATGGAAATCATAACAAACTAACTAACAAGGGAAACCGAATGGAAATGGTGAGATAAATTATGTTGAGAAGTGTGACAGGTCAGGGAAGCCAAGGTAGGGCGGAGGAGGAAAAACCCACAGGTTTCGGGGTTTACTAAGTGAAATCAAAAAGTTTCACTCAGCCAGGATTCTAATAAAGGAAATTAAAAAAGAAAAAAAAATTATGACAAGAGGTCCCCTTACCTCAGGGTGTCTGACCTCTTTGCTCAGCCACAAAAGTCAGACAACAGCTCTCAAGAACCCTCTCCCTTCTGACAGAGTAATTCACTCCTACTGAGTCTGCCATACTTAAGAATGGCCACACTGGGTCAGACCAATGGTCCATCTAGCCCAGTATCCTGTCTTCGGACAGCGGTCAATGCCAGACGGTTCAGAGACAATGGACAGAACAGAGCAATTATCAAGCATGTGGTTGTCCGTCTTACTTTTTTGGCTAATAGCCATGAATGTATCTAATTCTTTTTTTGAACCCAGTTATACTTTTGGTCTTCACAAATGACAAGGGACATGGGCTATAGAATTCTTAATACAAGATTTTGAATGCTGTCCACATCTTTGGCTCCTTAAGGAACACTATTTTCTACAGCTGAATGGGAAACAGTTTTCCTTTCCCATGAAAATTTGTGAGATTTTAAAATATTTTGCCATCTCAAATTAGGATGAAAAGTTGAAATCTCAAACATTTTAAAGAACCGATAATACTTCCCTCAAATGGTGAGGGTCAACCTGATCATTTCAAAACGTTTCATTTTGATTTTGACCTTTAATAGGTTTTGTTTACTATAATTAGCCTACATTTCTAAACGAAAAAAGTTATTTTGACTCAGAAAGCCAAAATTTTTCATTTTGAAAATGTCAAAACAAAATGCTTCAACAATTTCAAAATGTTTTTTCCAAAAAAAATTTGGAGTCAATAAATTGCCCGAACTAACCCTTCCCCGCGCAAAATATTTGATTTTGACAAATCAGTATTTTCTGATCGAAACAAAAAAATCAGTCAAAAAATTTCCAACTCTGCTCTATTATTTTCTATGAAGTTCCCTGCAAGGACCCTCACAATGTTTAAACTAACTACAGCAGGGCTCTCAGACTTTTGTACTGGCGACCCCTTCCACACAGCAAGCCTCTGAGTGCGACCTCCCCTTATAAATTAAAAACACTTTTTTAATATATTTAACACCATTATAAATGCTGGAGGCAAAGCGGGGTTTGGGGTGGAGGCTGACAAGTTCGCGACCCCCCCATGTAATAACCTCGCGACCCCCTGAGGAGTCCCGATCCCAGTTTGAGAACCCCTGGGCTACAGAGTGAAAAGCATCTGTGCATGGCAAACAGAGACAGCTCTTTATATAGGAAGCAAACTGCAAATTATTGAAACAAACCCACCCAGGAGGGACAGAATCCAAAGCAATTCAAACACAGAATATGGAGAAGGGAAAAAGAACAACCCTTCTTTCCTGGATAGGCTCAGGTAAGGGAAAAGGGGATGTGAACATTTCTATTGTTTACAAAAGCCCACCGCTAACAATGCATTATACAGAAATGGCCATTCATTCTTTCTACCCAGTCAAATTTTGCCCCCCTTGATTACTGATTTCTTATCTCACACCTATTTAATTCAACCAAAATAAAATACAGGGCAAAGGGACCTTCAGGAACTGCTGCATATGTCTGATGGGGGAAGTATTAAATTAGCAAACTGACAGTGAGTGTTACAAGCCGTCCTTCGGAAAGTCTGAAGTCTATAAAGTGTGTCAGTTACGTGGGGGTTCTCTGACAAAGGCAAGAGGGGGGCAAAGGGGTATGTTCAGGTTGCAGTAAGTGGATGGGGAGCTCTCTGTCCTTAAACACGATGCTGTGAGAACTCAAACTCAGCTACATTGCAAGATCAAACTTCCCAAATTAGCTGTCTTCAGTGACAGCAAAAATACCAGCCTGTCCCCTTAAGCAAGACTCTTTGCCCTACGTGGGATATTAGAAGCATGGTCCAAGACCAGAACAGGTGTTTAATGGGGAAGCTGAAAGGCAGCAGGCTTCCACATGCAGAAACGTTCATGAATTGCTGTAGGGAGTTAGCAAGACAAGGGCTTTTTCCTGGGAGAAGTTAAAGGTAAGTTGTGTAATACTGAAGCAGATGGTAAGTGTGTCACCCATGCTGGGGAACCAGGTTGTTCTACCTCTTCCAGCAGTTTAGGTATAGGGGCCTATTGTAGCTCTGCCTCCTGTTTTCAGAAGATGCAAAAACACAGGCCCACATTTTTAAAAACAATTAGTGATTTTGGGTGCCCAACTTAGAAGGGCTGGATTTTCAGAAAGTGCTGAGGAGAGGACCTGTCCTCCAAAAATCAGGTCCCTTTAAGGTATCAAGTTGGGCACCCGAAAATTGGAGCACCCAAAATCACTACTTATTTTTGAAAGCTGAGACCTGTCTGTTACTTACACTTTCTATCCCACTGTTGTTCTGGGATCTCTCAGTCTCTTTGCTCAGGTGTACTAAGGATTAATTTTGAACCAAAACCCTAGATCAAAACCCCTCCCAGGCTCTGGGAGATTCAGAATCTGGATTTTGCATTTGGGCTTTATTCCTCCTATGGACTGAATCAAAACCCCAGATCTGAACACTCTGCTTCCCAGACTTTGGGTGTTCAGAATCTGTGCTCTCTGCATTCATTGCATATTCGTTCAATTTCTTAGAATAAGAATTTTGTTCTTTTGATCTGTGGGTGGGGTTGCTAGAACCTTGGCTAGTTGCCCCTTTTCATTGTTGCATAAATCCAAAGAAATAATCATGATTATTAACAATAAGATGCTGAAAGGAAATTGTTTCATACGAATGCGGATAATTTAGGTTTTGATGATGAACCTCTGTGGCTGTAGGGTCACGTATAGGTCATCTTTTAGAACATGTATCTGGGCAGAATTCCAATACTGCACCTGGTGTCCACAGGTTCTCGAGAGTCTTTTGTAGCCCAGCATAGGCTATAAATGGAGCTCTCTGCTCAGTGTCCCCGGTGTCTCAGTATGTGTGTCCTCATTTAGAAAGCTCCTTTTATTTTCTTACTGCTCTTGTTTTCTCTCTGTTAAACTCCTGGCA